AGAGAGAGAGAAGAGAAGAGAAGAGAAAAGAGAGAGAAGAGAGAGAAGAGAATAGAAGAGAGAGAGAGAGCGAGAGAGAGAGAGCGAGAGAGATAGATAGAGAGAGAGAGAGAGAGAGAGAGAGAGAGAGAGAGAGAGAGAGGGAGAGAGAAACAATTTATATCACGGAGGTCTCTGCTTGCTTATTGCATTCTCTGAACCATAACGTGTGCTCTGGCAGAGCAGACACAGCCTTGAATCCATGCCAATAATTTCAGAATTAGTGCGAAAGCAAACCACAGGCCTTTGCTGACTTTATCTTGTAGAAGTTTTGGAATGTTTGCCTTTGACCGTCTCCACCTCTCTGTGTCAGATTACGGAGACACGTATGTCCACCACACCTGTTTAAAGTGTAATCGTGCGGCGATTCGTGCAAAATATGGCATGTCTTAAACATGTACACAATGGATTATCGTATCAGGTGTGGTTTGTTGACTTTAGGAACATACCTAAGTGAGGATTAATGGTGGTGACTTTAAGATCTTGTGTGACGTCAAGGAATGTCGCTTTAGTTCTTGTTTCTGTGAAGATGTGTACGTTGACCATAGAGTTATCTCCTTTTAAACCTATAGTGTACATCTATGACGCTGAGCTATGTGGACACTAATGCGAATGAAAAAGTGAGTTGATCGCGAATCCTTTTTAGAACAGGACGTGTTTTTGATAAACAGGGGACTCATGTTGGAGAGAAGCGACTAATTTTTCTCCATGGGTTGTAGTGGTATTGTTTGGAAGTCGTAGCTATAAGAAGAACGAAATAAAGGAGGAAGGAACATGGAAATGGAAGGGAGTTGGGGTGGTTGGGTGAGAACTGAAAGGTGATAGAGGTGGAGCGGAGGAGGATGAAAAAATAATTGTGACACGTCGTGATGAAATCAGGCGCTCGTCAAAATATCGAAATGGAAGAAGCAGGCATTTTTCCGCCAGTTTGGCAATCTTTATCGAATTTTTGTTTTTGAGCCCAACGCCTTTTATGTCTGTATAAAAACTCATTTCCAAGTGAATTTTACAGAAAAACTTTGTTTAAAGGCGCAAAATAGGTAGATTTTCAGTTTTCAAGGAAGGACTCTTAAGCCATTGAAGTTATCAAACTTTGGCGGACATTTTCTCACGAATTTTACTCCTTAAAAAAAGGCAACCCCTACCTCCTTTAACCACAAATATGCCATCTTCTATTCCAGATAGATGCGTATTATTCATATTGTGAGCAAGACAAATGAACAAGCTTTAAAATGATACCAATAACTCCACATGTCCAAAAATTGATATAGAAAATGATAAAGATAATCAGAAGGAGAACTGGAGTGGGGAGGGAAGAAAAAGGAAAAAGAGAAAAAGAAGAACAAGGACAACTGGAAAAAAAGTAAGAGATGGGGGAGAGGAAAACAAGGAAGAGGTGCTGACTAGGAGGGGGGGGGGTCGGAGGGTGAAATAGAGGGAAGAGGAGAAGGGTGAAGAGGGGAGGAGGAGGAGGCGGAGTGCATGGTCTATCAGGAAGCTGAAAAGAAGAAAAGGAACTTCTTGGGGATGCAGGGTGAGGCAGAGGAGGTGACGACTACAATTACGCTATAAATACGCGCAGATGGACAAAGAGACCCGCTGTGACAGACTGACCTAATTCCCTCTAGCCCGAGAACCTTAGGTCAACTCGTGTGTTTACATACAAAGAGCCGATTGCGATCGATCCCAAGTCGTGCCGAGCCTCATTGATCAGAGAGCGGCGGACCGTCTGAACAAGGCGGAAGGTTTCTACCGGTGCCAGAGGATATGTCTTTGCCGGAGGGAAGGCCGTCGTCGTGAAAAGAGCGGGCTTTCTCAGGTGCTATTTTCACGGAATTTGCGGGCCCATTAGGGAAACGGTGTGAAATAGTTATTGCCCGAGGGCGTGTTTAATTCTTTTGCTTTGCCAACTTTGTGGTGTTTTGGTGGACGCCAGGTGGTTTGAGCGACGATTAGGAGACACATTCTTGTTGGTGGTGTAAGACACATTCTTGTTGGTGGTGTATTGCTGCCCCCCAAGCTGTTTTGTTTAGTCTGAGGCGAGTCAGGTTTCGTGAAGGGTCTGTGTGCTTCCATGTGGTGAACTGCTTTGGTTGTATGATTACGTAAGTAGCTTAGTGGAAGCCACTTTGTGCAAACGCAGTGCATTTCTTCTAATTTGTGGGAAAACAGAGAGAGAGAGAGAGAGAGAGAGAGAGAGAG